AAAATATTTAATTTAACGAGAAATTTATGTTTGAATATCTTTTTAAATATTTTATTCACATTTAATCATTTTTAAGAGAGTAACCAATACTCTAACGTTTTATTTAAATTAAAGTAAAGTTTATTTAAACGTAAGAAATGAAAAAATTAAAAATGATTGCAATTTTAGTATTCATTATAAATGCAATTGTTTGTATTGAATGCAATCAAACCATTTGTGATTTAATGTACACAAATGGCAAATATTCTGGCGTTCAAATGTTCGTCGATTATCCCATTGAAGGCAAACCCAAGTATAGAATGTACACAAAGGGAATGAATTGGGAGTTCATTATAGAGAGGGATCAAAACAAGACACCATCGTTAGTGATGAACAGTTCAAGTGTTGGGCCGTTGTATAGAGCATATGGCAAACAACCGCTAAACATATTCACTACATTTATAAATCGCACGACATTTAGAAAACACTTTTACTGCGAAATACATTATAAGGTAATTATGATAGATTTTAAATGAAGCATAAATTATACATTATTTATTACAATCGTATAAAAGTATCCAAACTCTGCAACTATTGAGACCAAATGCGAATCCAGTGAAGACACGAATGAGTGCGAAAGTAACCATCAGTTTAACGCAAAGTCTATTATATTCAATGCAGAGGTTGTGGGCGCCGGTCATATGAAATCATATATGATATTATTGGACACAAAAATGCCATATCATTCCAAACAGTATCTTACTATTGGTTTTGATGGTATTATATTTAAAAATGAGAACCAATGTCCCAATAACTACAATCGATGTATGCGACCGACATTTGTCTATGAATTGGGATATTATTTGCTAAACAATTTGGAGGGAATCGTTGACTACGATTTGGGCTCCGGTAAGAGGGGACACATGCTTTGGTTCAATCTGAACGGTCGTCCCAAGTATTGCTTCACATTTGAAGGCCAGCCTCTCTCTCAACAGGTATTTGATAATCAATAGATTAACTTAATATAAAATGTATAGAAAAACAATATATTGTTTGTATGTTTCAAGTGTCTTCAAAAGGAGAATATGACTGCATATGACTGTCAATCAGAGACACCAACTGATCGTCCGATTCCGACCGTCAGTTTTATCGCAGAACTGCTATTATTTATTATTTTGTTGATATTTGGAGTGATTCTTGTGGTAATCGATTGGTATTTTATTCGTAAAAGACATCAACAAATGAGTGTAATTCCATCCGAGTCTTCAAATCAAATTGTATTTAGCAATAAATACAGTGGTTTGAAAAGATCGCCAAAAACTAAGAGATCCGTTACGTCTAGTGTTCAACAAAAAAACAATTAAAACCAAAAATTTAAAGTCTAGGAAATTGAATCTTAAAAAATTATTATTTTAAATTTGAATAAAATGTTGCATAAAATCGTAAAATATGCAATAAAATAGTATTATATGCACCGGGAGGCTATGCCAAAGCGGGGTGAGTTCTTCAGCTCAGGCCTGCCGGGCGTTATACCAACCAAAGACTTATAGCAGCACTTCTTTCAATCAATTAAATAACTGTTTTATTATAACAAAGAGTCACTACATGTGAGCACTTTGGAGATCAAATTAACTCTGGTTTTAATACATAGTAGTGCTGGTCTTATATACTCAAAGACTTATCATTAGTTATAAGTAAAGGTCTTTGAATAATTAGTGATATAAAGTATTTACAGTCATAATGTATAAAATATCAAAGATATGAATAGTAATGGAAATTAAAAGGCATTGAGTATAAAGTAAGGCAATGAGTAGTGTATTATATCGCACTCCCAGTGCATATATTTCGCATACATTATAGCAAAACTGTATAAAACTATAGGAAAACCATTCGCTAAAACCTCGCGATTACTTAACAATCGTTGTATTCATTATTTGTTTTTAAGTCAATGAACACTAAACTGATTACAACTGATCCGACAGACAATGACTCCCATTAGGAGAGCGACCACTTATCTCAAGACATATATAACACCCGCGCATAAGAGATGCGCGTCTATTAGATAGAGAGACATCAACTGTTCCACCGATTGATGTGATTCCTACCGAAAGTATCAGTTTTATGGCAGAACTGCTATTATTTATCATTTTATTGATATTTGGAGTCATTCTTCTGGCAATGAATGGGTATTTGGCTCTCAAATAACATCAACAAATGAGTTCCAAAGACCCAAAAGTTTAGACATACAGTATTCAAAAAAGATACAATCCGTGTCTTCCGTATTAACGGTTAACTCGAATGGTATGTCCACTAAGAAAGTGTCACCAATTCATACATAGATTGCAGTGAATACAAGGGATCAATAAAATTATGATAAATATTTAATAAAAGTTTTAAAATTGTTTACAAATTAATTTTTATAAAACTGATTCAACTAAAAAATATTCGTATACATGTATTTTCTTCTTACTCGTTAAAGTTATAACTTTAACACTTAACTCTCCGCATGCATTTGAGTATTGTTGGCCATAAAAAGTACAGGTTAACCTCATTATACTATACATAAAATTTTTGCTACATTACTCAAGAGTCTCGCACTGTCACAACAATGATTAGTAATTAAAGGAGAATGTTCGTGTTTTGGCTGATTTGCAGCTGATGTGCAATTATTGTATTATTATTTATACTCATATAGACAATCACAAGTGATTATTCCTAAATGTAGTTATATTAATATATGATCGGAGTACTATTTATAAATAATTTATATCAATATTAAATACTAATGGTTAAACAATAATAAAAATGGCAACATTTATCATAAGTAATTGAAGTGAATGGTAATAATCACTGAATTCATTAATGAATTCATTTATTCATATTTACAAATTACGAGTGCAAGTTTAGGCCAATATGAACATTCTTCTTTAATTTCTAATTATTATTTTGCTATTAAATAACAACACTTATAGTGAGGTTTTACTGTAGTTAGCGCGTTAAACAATACTGGATTAAGCTATAGCCTTATTAAGCTTGTGAACCATTCACAACGGTTTTATTTAAGTGTTAAATTAAATTATAATATATACAAATTGTATACTAATAAGATGTATATTATTAAAAAGCAATGTATTGTTTATGTCTAAACTGCTACCGAATAGAGGATACGATTGCAATAGACTATGGATTATATTTTGGCAAAACTTTAATTAATAAATGTAGCAATTATTTAAAATACTAATTTAATTCACGAGGTATGTAAGTTTAAATCTATTATTCAAAAACTTAATCAAATTAAATACAACGAGAGTTAACAACGTTTTATATAAATCAAATAAAACTCCATTCAAACCAAAAAAGTCAAATAAAAATAAAAATGATTGCAATTTTGTTATTCATTATGAATGCGATTCTTTGTATTGAATGCAATCAAACCATTTGTGGTTTGATGTATACAAATGGCACATATTCTGGCGTTCAAATATTCTATGATTGGCTATATTTAAACTCAAACCACGATGGTTCAAAGTATAAGATGTATGCAAAGGGAATGAGTTGGAAGTTTACTATAGAGAGGGATCAAAACAATTCATTATCGGTAGTAATGCACAACTCAAGTGTCGGGAAATTGTATACAATGTATGCCAAACAACCACTAAATATCTTTTCCACATCTTTACAAACTAAAGTTAGTGGTTTAAAAGTAATTTACTGCGAAATACAAAGGTAATTATACAGTCTATCCCGGTTATAAGCCAATCGATCGGTGCATTCAATATTATTCTCTTATTACCGGGTTTACCTTATACCCGGGTTTATATTAGTTGACATTTTACCACAAAATACAATGACCTTTGATACACAATACAGTAATTAACTCAATCACAAATCAATCACGAAAAACACTAATTTATACGACAATACAATGTCTAAAAATATGAATTTTAACACACTTTTACATTAATACCTCTGTTTTAGGGATAAAATACAAATAATTGCATCAATGTTTAAAACACATGACTTGAAATACAGTATTTACTAGTGTGACCAACCGTACACTTTTGAAGTGTACAGTACACTATTTGAGACTTCTGTACACTAATTTCAGACTGTACACTATTGTACACTTTTGGAAAATATTTCTATCAATTTATTAGTGATTAGCTTATTAGTGGGTTTTATAACATTAAAAGTCCATAGGAGCTGCCGGTGCAGCAAAAATATCAGCCTATTACCGGGTTTAGCTTATATCCCGTTAGCCTATAGCCGGTATAGACTGTATATATTTCAGATTAGATAAGAAACTAATGCTATAAATAGTTTTTTAAAACATGAAATGATATATTTTTGCAACAATTTTAATTATAATACTGTATTATAAATTAATCACACTATAGAGCTTAAATTTATTAAAGCTATGAAATAGCTTGATCAAATAAATAACATCAAATATAAAAATATTTTTAATTATTATTCTAACAAATTGGGTGAATAATAATATTTATAACAATGTTACAATATTATTTTTACCTACCATATTATTTACTCCCCAGTAATTGCACTTGAGATAAGTTAATCCATATAATTAACTTGTTTCAAGTCCAAAATGTTTGGTACATATTTTACAATATAATAATCTAGCCATAAAGTGGCATTTGATAAGGCTTTATGATTCATACATAACTATTTCATTATAGGTAATTCTGTTTATTAAATAATGTTGCACATATGAGTTGTAAATATGAACGCACTGTATTAAGTGCAGTGTACTTACGGTTATATAAATTCTCTATTTTGTATAACTAGTAATTATTAATTACACCTGGCTAGATAAACTAGTTTTATTTATAATTTTTAAATAAATATTTATGTTTAATAAGCATCCAAGAGTATTAAGCATTATTTATCCTTAGTTATTTGTTTAAAAGTAAATAGATGGAATAATAAACATTAAATTTTACATAAAAACATCCTTGACCAAAAGTTATAATTAATTGTAAATATAATATTTTGCATTGAAAATGGATAAGTTATTTAATTAAAAAACTATCATGCTATGCATTGACCACGTTTAAATTAGTGCTGGAAAAATTTACAATTTAGATAAATGTTATATGTGCAACAATTTAATTACTCAAACAATAATATTTAAACATAAGCGCTATTTAAACATTTAAAACACCTTAATACTGTATTACATAAATAAATGAAACACCACATTGAGTTTGTTATCGCTATTATAAATAATTAATACATTCTCAATGAATAACTCGTTGTTTCATTTCAATCGGGTTTTGAAACATTTTATATTTAATATGTTTTAGTTATATCAGTACTAATAAAATTAGTGATTCATTGTAACCATACCTGCGATGATAACCACTGAAGCACCGGGTATTTAAGGCTATACAATAGTATTAGTAATTTATTAAATACCAACTATCACAATCACATCACTTATGAAACACAGTGTGAATAACAAGGTTATATACAAGTGTTAGAATATAATTTTTTTCTCAGCATATGTCATTATGTTAGCATTTTAATAATTATATTTTAAATAAGTGACATTAAATAATTTTAAAACTAAATGTTTTGTTTACCAACAATTATTGTACAATAAAACACAACACTAATTGCAAACATCCACAACTAATTAAACTTGTAAAAATCGATCATGGCACCACTTGTACTAAAGCAGCTTGGTGTATTACTATGGAAAAGTTGGATCGTGCGGCGCAAACACTGGATCTCCGGCCTGTTTGAGCTGTTACTGCCTATAATAATGGGCGCCGCGATCGCCGGTGCGTTCGTCAATAGCAACTCATTGGACAAAAACAGCTCGAGCGGGTCCGGTGGCGGCACCGGGTGGCAGCCGCCCACCTATTACAAGCCGTCCGACCCGTACAACATGAGCAATTTGCTACACAGCAAGTGGAGCATGCAACTTAGCATATACTATTCGCCCAATACCAGCGTGGTGACCAACAAAATAATGAGCAAGTTCGTTGAGCGATATAACTTTACGGACGATGACCATGTTCGGGGCACGATCGGCAAGTTTGGCAGTTTCGCTACGGAGGCCGAGCTCGAGCATCATCTATACGTGAGCTCCGGGTCGCGGGCTATAGGGTTGGTGTTTATGGACATCGATAGCGACCCGAATGCATTAAAACTCAAGATACGTCCCACCGGTTACCCCATGGTCGATTTGGTCGGTTTGAAGCATCCGAATGAAAATAATGGCCCGTCGAGGTATGATAATGGCCAAGAGTACGAAGATGAATTCAGCCGCGTCCAGGTGGCCGTGTACGAGCTGTACGCCGACTATCTGGCCAATCGGGCCGATGATGATCAACCCTCGGCCACAGGCGTGACCGGTGTGCACATTCAACGGCTACCCTATCCCGAGTATTTAAAAACAGTTACTACTATTGGAGGTTGGTGCTTTTTTGTTGTTATACCTTGTATTAATTACCACAATAATTTATTTTGGTGTAGATAGCAAGCAATAATTAATTATTTTAATTAACACAACAGTAATGAATTATTACAGGTTTGAATTGTGAAATTAAATTATGTTATGTTTGTTTAGGTTAGGTAAGGGTAGGCACAGGCATAAAGTGGTAGTTAAAGGGCATGGGGTGGGCAGTAACAGTCTTGTTCTATTCAATATATTTTATTTTATTTATTTAGTTATTCTGATTTTATGTTTTATTCACCATAGAGTGTTTCATTTTATATTCATTTAAATTGTTTCAGCTTATTTAGTTTATTTATTGAACAACATTTTGAAAATATTAATTCTGTACTGTAATTATAATAATTATTATAAGTTGCAATAATTGTAACATTCTTATTATGATTATATACTGTAAACGCTATATTATTATTAATCTCATAAGCTAAACATTATTAGTAAAAATAATTTATTAACATAACAAAACTATAGGTGGAATGAACGCATTGGAAATGCTGGGAGTGATAGTCATCACAAGTTATATAATAATGTGTCCATTGATTGTGAAACGTATTTGCCTACTTTTCCGCCGGTTTCGATTCCTTTACGAGTTTTACTACCCAAACTCACTAACCCACAAAACCCCGAGCGTAAAGTAGTTGATAAAGTGGTATTACAAATATGTTAGTACAAAAAAGTAGTATATCTTCTGCGTTGGCTTCGGTGGCCTACCGTTTGTTGTCTATAGCAACCCATTTATGCTGTTAATCGCCCTGGTGCTATTTAATATAACCACCATATTAAGTTGTATGCTATTAACCACCGTGTTCAATCGCCCGGTGATCGGTGTAGTGGTCAGTGTTGTGTTGTTTGAGATCTCGCATACGTTGCCAATGGGTTTATTGAGTAGAATGTTTAACCAGGACATGGATGTCGAGGGCACCACCGGTTGGCGTATATTAACCTGTTTTCTGCCCAACTCAGGCATGCAATGGTATTTCTCAGTTATGGGCGAATGGGAAACCCGTGGTCAGGCACTGTCCTGGGATAATATGTGGTCGGATGCGCCCAAATATGGTCATTTTAGCGGCGGTTTAGTCCTATTACTGCAATTAATGTCTATATTTTTCTACGGTATGTGTAATTAAATAGTAATGTATTATTATTTTATTTATCATTTATGATGCTTTATTGTGATTTATAAATAGCCTTGCTCATATGGTACGTGGACAATGTATGGCCATGGCAGTTTGGCATACCTAAACCTGTGTACTATCCGTTTTTGCCCTCGTATTGGTTTCCAAACCAGAGTAAAAGTCATGAAATTTATTCATCAAAAGACAATGAAAATAGAAATGCAAAACACTTTGAAAAAGAGCCGTTGAATACAAGGGTTGGCATAAAATGTGAGAAATTGCATAAAATGTTTGGCAATAAGACGGCTGTCGGCGATATGTCTCTCAACATATATGGCGGACAAATAACTGTACTGTTGGGCCATAACGGCGCCGGAAAGACCACTACAATGAATATAATGGTATTTCTCAGTTATGGGCGAATGGGAAACCCGTGGTCAGGCACTGTCCTGGGATAATATGTGGTCGGATGCGCCCAAATATGGTCATTTTAGCGGCGGTTTAGTCCTATTACTGCAATTAATTTCTATATTTTTCTACGGTATGTGTAACTAAATAGTAATATATTATTATTATTATAATGCTTTATTGTGGATTATAAATAGCCTTGCTCATATGGTACGTGGACAATGTATGGCCATGGCAGTTTGGCATACCTAAGCCCGTTTACTATCCATTTTTGCCCTCGTATTGGTTCCCAAACCAGAGTAAAAGTCAGGAAATTTATTCATCAAAAGACAATGAAAATAGAAATGTAAAGCACTTTGAAAGAGAGCCATTGAATACAAAGGTTGGCATAAAGTGTGAGAAATTGCATAAAATGTTTGGCAATAAGACGGCTGTCGGCGATATGTCTCTCAACATATATGGCGGACAAATAACTGTACTGTTGGGCCATAACGGCGCCGGAAAGACCACTACAATGAATATGATTACCGGTATATTCCCGCCCACTTCGGGCACAGCATATATCAGTGGATATGATATCAGACAACAGACTCGGAGGGCTCGCAAAAGCCTGGGTTTGTGTCCACAGGTAATAAAAATACAGTATATTTTGTTATAGATTTTGTATTTAATTTTAACTTTAATGTTATTTCTATAGGAAAACATTTTGTACAGTGAGTTGGATGTGAGCCAACACTTGAAACTATACGCTATACTGAAAAGCCATCCCTGGGCTGATGTGGACAATGAAGTGCAAAAAATCACAGCTTTGGTTGACTTAACAGATAAGGCAAACACTATGTCTACAGATCTGTCCGGTGGTATGAAACGTAAGCTATCACTCGGTATTGCATTAATAGGCAATACAGAGATCCTAATACTGGATGAGCCGACCTCTGGTATGGATCCGGAGGCGCGAAGACATATGTGGGATGTCTTACAAAATATCAGATCCGAAAGGACTATATTATTGACCACTCATTACATGGAAGAGGCGGATGTAAGTCACAGTTATTATTACCATAATTGTTATGTTTATATTAACGATATACTATTCCTATCCCTGTCCTGACCCCAGGCTTTGGCCGATAGGATCGCTATTATGAGTGAAGGAGAAGTGAAATGCTGTGGAAGTCCTATGTTTTTGAAGAAAGCATTCGGCGCCGGATATCACCTCCGGATCGCTAAGAACCGGGAGTTTAACAGCCAATCGGTGCTCAATATTATACGCAAAACAATGCCAAACGCGGACATAAAAAGTGAGATCAACTCAGAGATCATATACTCGTTGGAAGACAGCGACGAACGCGAGAGGAATGACACCCAAAACGAAACCAATGGTCAACTGATCCAACTCTTCACGCATTTAGAGGCCAGAAAATACGAGTTAAACATTGAAACCTATGGCCTGACTGTCACCACAATGGAGGACGTCTTCCTCCGAGTGGGCAATGAATATATGGACAACTCTTCTGCCGATGAGATGAGTAAAGCGTCCACTAATTCACTGCAAGACGCGGACTTATTGTCGCATAATATCCGTCGAAATACTGGTAATAAACTAAAGGCACAACAGTTTTGGGCGCTTTTGCTGAAGCGTTTCCACTACGCGAAGAGGTATTGGCCAATGATTGTCCTCCAGACAGTACTTCCGGCCATACTATTCATGTGTATCCTATTGTTGGATCAGTCGCTGAAGAAGTCAACGGTACAGACGTCTACCAAAAACCTTGAGTTAAACTTGAAGTCAGTCTACGGCCAGACCGAGGGTTTCATACAGTCGTCGAGTGCGGCGTTTAAGCCGTTGACCGATAAATACATTCAAGTGTCCAAAACTCAGGACATGACCGCAACAGAGATCACAGGTTTGTGTGTTTTTAATTATTTTATACTTTAATTAATAATTTTGATGTAATTATTAGTTTTTAATATTTGTAACTTATATTAAATTTATTTTTGTAATTTATTAATAATAATTTTATTTACAAATATACAGAAAACCCCAATACTTGGGCCCTATCTGGCAATAGAGGTGACGATATCAGCAAATATATCAACACTTATTTAGTCGGCGCTCAGATCAACGACACGGCCGACGACACCACGAATACCGGTGAACCCGAGCTAATATTGAAGCCCTGGTATAATCAGGAGGCCATACACTCACTCCCGGTGTCCATCAATTTCCTATACGAAACACTATTGAAACAGAAATTCAATAATAAAAAACCATCGATCACACTATACAACCATCCGGTATTATATGATCAAAGCGGAAATAAGATGACCATGATTAGTGTGACTATGATGGTCACGTGTCTACTGCTGGTGCCCCTAACGGTGCCATTTATCGGCGCCTCGTATGCATTGTTCCCAATCCATGAGCGCATCACTCAATCAAAACTATTGCAGTTAATGAATGGCATATCTGTTCACACGTTTTGGGCGGCGAGTTATCTCTTTGATATCATTAACCACTTGTTGGCCAGTATTATACTCTTCATTGTATTTGCCATTTTTGATTTCGATAAAATCTTCATGGGCAATGGTAAGAATACAACTTGTTTATTTTGTTTTTATTTATTTGGTATTTCTGCGTAATAATATTAATAATTACAATTTACATGTATTTACCATGTAAAGCGAGCAACGCGGGCGGACTATTCATATTATTCCTGGCGTTTGGTCTGTCGGCCATACCGTTAGCCTATCTGTTCTCACTTCGACTCAAACAGCCCTCAACTGGTTATGCAGTTCTGGTCGTCGTATACCTGCTCTCAGGTATCGCTCTCTCATTGATTGTGTTCTTTGTGTCAATGCAAGCGCCGAAAGCGGCCGACGCTCTCGAAGGTGTGGCCAATATTATGCCCGTCTATGCCATGAGTCACGGCATACAGAAGCTGTACAAACTGGGCTCATACGGTGACGCGTGTGGCAAATTGACCAGGGAGTTTTTGGCCCGACGTTGTGATGATAATCAAAAAATTAGCGGCGATAATGACGAGTATTGGGGCTGTTGTAGGACTCTATGCGAACCCACACATGAGTGTTACGATCAGCGCAATGCTTTTCAATGGGGCAAACATGGTAAGTGCGCTATGTTACTTTATTTATTAAACATTATTAATTACAACGATTATCGTATAAAATTGTTAGACACATACTTTGTGTGAATTTTATGTTTAATTTATAATGAATTAATTAAAGTTTCACGTTTACATTTATAACCTAGGTATTGTCACCGAATTGGTGTACTTGATTGTGACAGCAGTTATATATACGGCTCTCCTATCGCTAATTGAAGGCAATTTTCAACGATTAAAATACATGTTTAATAAGAACTCAAAGACAACGGCTGTGGTTAACAACGGGTACAGCACTGGACAGCAAAGTGTTGTGTTGAATGTGGGCAACAATGGCTATGGTATGCCATTCGCAGTCCAACAAATGGTAGACTCGGATGTTTTGGCCGAAAAGCAGCGCATCGATGGTCTGGTGGGCGCCCAGAGTGTGACCAGTGATGCGATTGTTGTGCAAAATCTGTGCAAAACATTCAAAGCATTTCCAGCCGTCGATAACCTCTCGTTTGGTGTCCATAAGGAGGAGTGTTTCGGACTGTTGGGAGTGAACGGCGCCGGAAAGACCACAACCTTTCGTATGCTTACGGGCGACGAGAGTCTGACGGGAGGCCAGGCCTGGATCGGCTACTTATCTCTCAGACAGGACTTACAACACTTTCAACGAGAGGTCGGCTATTGTCCACAGTTTGACGCTTTGCTCAACAAAATGACGGGAATTGAGACGTTGTTTATGTTTTGCCGGTTAAGGGGTATGACTGAGGATATGATACCCACTTATGTATAAGGAGGAGTGTTTCGGACTGTTGGGAGTGAACGGCGCCGGAAAGACCACAACCTTTCGTATGCTTACGGGCGACGAGAGTCTGACGGGAGGCCAGGCCTGGATCGGCCGGTTGTCACTCCGGCACGACTTACAACACTTTCAACGAGAGGTCGGCTATTGTCCACAGTTTGACGCTTTGCTCAACAAAATGACGGGAATTGAGACGTTGTTTATGTTTTGCCGGTTAAGGGGTATGACTGAGGATATGATACCCACGTATGTGAAGGATCTGACAGCTATGGTAGACCTGACCCCTCACGTCCATAAATGCACCGAAACCTATAGCGGCGGTAATCGACGCAAACTATCGCTGGCTATAGCCCTGTGCGCCGCACCGGCCGTCATATTCTTAGGTAGAGTTACCACAAGTCATATACTTTATAATAGTATATCTAATTAGTAATTACTATCATTTGCACTACAGATGAGCCGACCTCTGGTGTTGACCCATCGGCCAGACGTAAGATATGGTCAACTCACCGTAGTGAAGTCGCGTATATACCGAGCCGTAAGCATGACTGCAGTGTGAGCTACCTTCTCACGCTTCGGGACACGCGAGCCCACCGGTTTATGGTCAACGGACAGCTCCAGTGCTTGGGATCTGTTCAACACCTCAGACACAAGTTTGGACAGGGATTCACTATTTTGGCTAAACTCCGGAGGGATATGACTGAAGATCCCTCTTATATGGCATCCATCGAGCAGTTTGTGCGCCAAGAGATGCCGTCGGCTGTCCTGAAGGACGTCCATCAATGTCTACAAGTAATAGTGTATTGTCTAGGTGTCTACAACACCAGCTTCTACAAACGTGAGTACCTTCTGTACTTTGTGGCGAAGAGAGAGCTCCTGATGTGGTATTCACTGTGGTGAAATCTCGTCTAGAAGGATTCGTTCGCCCGAAGACAGCGATAATTAGTGTTATTATTATTAGATTTAATTATTATAAGATCAATTTTTTATTTATTTATTTAAATTCATGTATATAATTGATGACATAATTTTAATCAGAATATAAATGATAATGTAATTTTAATTATTGTAAATATTGAATTTTTAATTAATTATTAAATTGAATCAGTGAGTTAAAATTAAAGGTAATTTTTTGGTAAAATGAATGTCAATGTAAAGTAGTATTATAATATGATATGAATGTGGTAATATCTAAAAATATTGAATTTTTAATTAATTATTTTATAATTATTTATTGTCACCACTACTGCATTGTATGAGCTTTTGATAAGATCTTATGATTGATATCTGGGAACAGGTTTTGATTGTCATAAAAATGTAGTTTTGAAAACACGTGTATTTGTAATTACAACACATTATTTATTTCAATACAACACATTTATTTTATTGAATAAATCGTTTATTTAACTTAAAGTTAAGTTAATTTGTTTTAATTATTTAGTATTTGGTTAAATTGAAGTTTCATTTGATTAAAAATGTGTAAAAAACTAATGAGTATTTCATTGATTGAAATGAGGAGTAAATTAAATGCAATGAAAAGTTTGTGTGAAATAATAAACAAAATTCAGAGTATTTTGAATACAAATAAAAGTGTTTTGTGTGAAGCGATTGAATGCGAAAATAATGATTATT